CTTACTGAAAAAATTAACAGAGTTGAAAGGGACCTTGTAGGTCATCTAGCCAACACCCGATCTCCCTACCCAAGCAGGAGACACTACACCATTTCTGACAGATGGCAGTTCAGTCTCTTCTTGAAAGCTTCCAGTGATGAAGCTCCCACAACTTCTGAAGGCAAACTGTTCCATTGGTTGATTGTTCTAGCTGTCAGAAAGTTCCTCCTTATTTCTAGGTTGAATCTCTCCCTTGTTCAATTTCTATCCATTATTTCTTGTCTGGCCTTTGGGTGCTTTGGAAAATAAGTTAATCACTGCCGTGTTTATACAGTGGCTTTATTATGTTGTTTTTCCTCCAGGGTCCTTCAAAGAATTTGTAGTTCACTCACACAGCATTTAATTTTATCTGTCTCAGATCACTGAGATTTGAGCCATCAGTGTAACCTCCAACTGACCCATTGGAGAATGCAAATAAGCTAGCTCCCTAATACCCATTCTGTAATTCTCTTGTACCATAAATCTCTCTATGCAACATGGCCCGTGTCCTTTGTTCATGATTTCTGAACACATGTTTCTGTTGGCAGACAGACATGTGTTGCTATTGAGAAGAAGCTTTTATTGCAATTCTATTGCTTTTAAAAATGTCTTGTGAACACTGAAGGTGAAATCGTCGCATTCTACCTTTGGTGTGATTTTGTATCTGTGTGCATGAGTCAAGATGCAGGCAATCATGTTCTCATTCTTTCCCTTGATTGGACTTTCAGGGGAATCATTCCAAAAAGGATGGTTGCGGAAGACACACTTGATGTATGTGACTACAGTAGTACCCGTTACACAGCAGTGCTTTGAGATTATAGCATTTCAGATGTGAAAAGTTTCATACTTACTTTATCTGAAATTTCAGAAATTTTGCTTTGTGAAGAAGAAGATGGCTAGTTTTAAGGGGGGGGGGCAAGATACAAGCACTTATCAATATGTACAAAATCTTTTGTGTATCTAGTTGAGCACAATATTTTGTTGTATTCAAAACTAATTTCTTCAGTATATGAGGATGTTTTTTAATGATCAGAATCCTTTTTAAACATTAATTATAAAGCCAGAAAGATTCTAGTTGTTAATGTATTTCTTTAAATAAGGATGGATTATGAATTTAATAGATTTTTAAATAATCTTTTTAGAAGGAATTTATTTATCTTTGAAACAAATGTAAACAATTATGCCATGTTTAGTTTATAGCTGTCATCTGACAACATTCATATCTAAAAGAGAGGCAAATACTATGGAAATTTAAAAAGCATTTGAATAAGACAAATGTAAAATATTTTCAAGTAATAAAATAATAGATGACCCCATAAATGAAAGGGTCAGAAATTAATCAATGCAAACATATTTGCATTATTACTATGAATGTCATTGATCATTGTAGCCTACTAAATCAAAATCCATCCTTAATTTAGACTTCGATCAGTAAATTGACTGGGCTTACCATGTTGTACAAACTGATTTATGGCTTAACACGGCATGTAAAAACCAGTGAATTGTCCTAATTCAATAAAGAATTATTACAGAATTATGGAATAATGTACAGTATGAACTTTCTATATCTGTAAGCCATTGCTAGAGAAGGTCCTGGCAGGGCAAAGAGATTGCTTAAGCAAATTACCTCTTCCTGAGGTGATTTTTTTTGCAGTGGAACACTTCCCTAAAGAGACCTATTTCCAAGTTAGCAAGTTTGGGAAATGATTTTTTTTAATATCATTTATTACCATTGTATTTACAAATAGTTGCTAAATAATCCCTAGGAGTGGATGTAGTTCAAATTCATATTGTGAGCCTCTCTCAAAGTATACAACCTTTCTCGTTCCTTTGCCAACCCAGAGCCAGTTTGTTCTGGCCATGTTTTACCATCCTCACTTATATATAGGATTCACATGAAGACAATAGGGTATTGTGGGATTCCTAGCACCTTCCACAGCATGATGTGGCTGACACAATCAAGGACCTTTCTTATAATCAGCAACACATATACTAACATATTTTTTGGGTCTTCCTTGACTTTGCAATTATATAGCATGCATCAGCTGTAATATCTCTTGTTCTAACCCTTTTCTAAACAATTAACTGGCAATGCTTTGTATCACTAATGACTCTATTTGTTTTTCTTTTCTGAACACTGAAGGAGATGCCAACCTCCAATTGGCAAGCTAAAGGATGCCAATGGACAGATAATAACCCTTTCTATGTAGAGCTATAATCTGTATTGGATGATCCTAAGCATTATTTTGCTAGCATGTGACATTAAGTAGTTTACACACTCTGTTACATCACATTACTATATTCCGATATATAGATTGACATCTTCCAATCTATACCATTCTACAAATTTATTTGGCATATGCTCATAAAATATTTATTGATTTTTTATTTAATTTTTTGGATGCTTGTTATATTTTTGTGGCCTGTAGCCTTCTGATTTGGTAATGACTGGATGTAATGACTGACTTGGTCTTCTAGTATTAGAATTTCTTGTAAAGAGAAAGTATTTTCAAAAGTATGCTGGATATTGGGAAATGTACTGTACAAGTATTTCAGTGTATTTCTTTCATCTTTTTGGATTTTCTTGGAATTGGTTATTATTTGTACATTGGCATTTTTTAGCATGCCAATTCGAGGTTGGAATCTCTTTCAGTGTTCAGTAAAGAAAAACAAATAGACTGTTATAGTCATTAGCAATGCAAAGCATTGCCAGTTAATTGTTTACATGGATGAATACAAATAAGAGCTCATGGGATATTATTTTTCAGGAAAGGGAATTTCAGATCTGAACATTCCTTTCCAGATGTGTTATTAGTTATTAGTTATTATTTTCCCCCAAAGGAAAGAGTAGTTTTGCAGGAAGGAGGAGGAAGAAAAAGAAGGCGGAAGAATAAGGAGAGGAGGAGGAGAAGGATTATTCAAAGCCCATCTTTCTCTGTTCTCTGTCACCTCTGATTGCGATAATTATTCTCCCCATCTCAAACAATGATTAGCTGCATTTAAAAAAGTTTAATAAATGCTATTAATAAAATGATAAAAACAGTGAGACATTGATAATTTATTGTGGATATTAATTTTGGGATTATTCGGTTTTTGGAACTGCAAAATTTGCATCTAGATTTTTACAGGCAAATTATTATACTTTTGTTTTTTCATATCTTGTTCATTATAAAGGCCTACTTGGCAAGTGCAAGACAAATTGGATGCCAACAACGTGGCGTACACAACTGAGAAGCTAAGTTTTCATACCGATTACCCTGTTCTACAATTTCCACCAGGGGTAAGAGAAACATAAAAAACAAAGCAGTAGTAAAATGGATGCCAATCAGAGGTCTGTTTGTGCCGGTTCTCCCTGGATCAGGCGAACATGTAGTGGCAGCGGCGGGAGACTCCGCCTACCCACCCGGATGCTTATGCGCATGCACAGAAACGTCACGTGAGCACGCGCACACATACGAGCGAACTGGTAGTGAAATAAGTTAACAACCCACCACTGGTGCCAATAGCATAGTAATAGAAATGTTTTGATTAGCCATGCATTATGTTGTATGAGAGCCAGTTTGATATAATGGTTAAAGGCACCAGAGCAGAAGCTGGGAGCCCATGAGTATTATTCAGGGAAGACCATCATTAAAAAAAGTGTTTTCAAACAAAATTTAAAACACACCAAGTTTGCCATCTGTGGCAGTACTTCCTATAGGACCCAGTTTACAACTGTCTCATGACAATAGAGCCTCTGCTGAAGGTCCAGAATGTTTACATAAATAATGGTATTATTTGAGTTAATCGGATTCCAAATTGTTTAGAGATTTGTGAATTAACATTAACATCTTGAAGCTGGCTCATTAACACAGTAGAACTCAGACATGCTTAATCATCTTCCTAGTGTTTTCTGAACTAATTGCAGCACTGAACTATTCCCAAGTTCACAAAGCACATCATAATAATCCAATTTTGAGACACTTATTGCAGGAAATCTAATTGTCAAGCTCTCCAAGTCCAAAAACAGAGAACTGATTTATGAATGCAGATAGTAATAGGTGACTGTGCCTCTGATGAAGAGGACAGATTCAGGCTGCTTTAACAGAGGGATAGAATCAAGAAAACGTGAAGTGTAAAATACCATGACGCCGTGGTAATACTACACTTGGAATACTGCATCCAGCTTTGGTTGCCAGTATGTAAAAAAAGATGTTGAGACCCAAAAAAGAGTGCAGCGAAAAGCACCAAAGATGATTAGGGGACTGAAAGATATAAAGGACAGTTACTGGAATTGGATATATCTAGTTTAATGAAAAGAAGGATTAGGGGTGACATGATAACAGTGGTTACCACAAAGAAGAGGAAGTCAGCCTATTCTCCAAAGCACCTGAAGGCAGGACAAGAAGCAATGGATGGAAACTAATCGAGAAGAGAACCAACCTAGAACTAAGGAGAAATTTCTGACAGTTAGAATAATTAATTTGTAGAACAACTTGCCTCCAGAAGTTGTGACTGCTCCAACACTGGAAGTTTGAAGAAGAGATTGGACAACCATTTGTCTGAAATGGTATAGGATTTCCCGCCTGAGCAGGGAGTTGGAATAGAAGACAGTTCCAGATCCCTTTCAACTCTGTTATTCTATAAATTCTGAAAAGTACAACCTATTGGCGGAGCATCATGCAGGCACCGTGCGCATAAGCCCCGATCAGCTCAAATACATATAAGGAGGGCCGGTGGGCCCTCTGGAGCATCGTACCGGAACAGTACCTGGTGCTCTCAACAGGCACTGACACGCCCGTACCAGGGCGTACCGGTCGTATCCCACCACTGTTCTGCTGGTTCATAAAATGTATTATATGTTACTCCTGATATAAGCAACCTTGTAATCATTCAGACATTTTACAACAGCTGCAATATTATGCAGTTCACCATAGTTATAGGGCTGATAAGATCAAAGCATCAGGAGAACACTATACTGTATTGTTTGAGGTTAGTATTTCTCAAATCCATTTTAATCAGCTCAGGTGTAGTCACAGATGCACACAGTTTGTAATATTGTGTTATCTATTGTGTTATTTATGTCACGTACTATGAAGTTTTAGCTGACAAACCTGTCCATGTGTTACATAAAAGTGAAAAACGGTAGGGCGCTGTAACATTGCATTAAGAAGATTCTAAAGCAATGCAAAGTTAACATCATTTAACTCTCCTAATGGAAAACAGTGAAATATGAAAAGGGTTCCACCTACCATATTCAGCAGTCAGAGCCCTTATTCAGTATAAACATTCTATTTAAATTTATAAGAGGCTCCAAATGGTGCAAATTGGCTTTTGTGAATATCAATTCTGGTGAGGTTTACAGAGTTATTTTCTGCATAATCACTTTAAATCAACCATGTACTAAATTACGTTCAGCTCAAACTGCATCTGTTGCTGTAATAACTATGTAGTGTATTGCAAAGAAATGTTTAAAATTTCTCAGATGGAATCATGGGAGAAAACCTTGGTGTTTCAGTGGACAAAATGTATACATAATTCTGTTCAGTATTTTAATAACCTTCTGAACTTCTAATGCTGCCCATATTTCTGCCATTCTTGCTGTATCTGCAAAGATGGGGAAATTAATGTGGTCTGTGTGTTGTAGGAAATTTTTACTCAAGGTCTTCAAACAATCTATGGTATCATACTTTTGATGAATTAAGCAGATTGTGTGCTATTAAATAGATGCCTTTTTTCAGATTTGGGAGTTACCTTGAAAATTCATTTAGAGGTTGTACAAGTACATATGGTATGGCAATCAAGGGGAAGTTTTGAAATGGGGGGGAAAAAAGAAAATTTATATTCTAATTTATGCCAAGAATCACACCAAGATATTACTTTCAAATGCTTGTAAGAATTTTTGAAAACATAGTTTTAAACAAAAGGTTTTGCAAGTAATCTTTACAGTTTCTATGTTTCTAGGTTTGGGGTTTTTAAAGAATTAAACCATCTCATGTTATATAGTAAGGAGACTTCTGATATAAAATATAAATGTAGAGCATAATGTTGGACTAATAATAATAACCTGTTATTAATTTGTTCCAGATTCAGTTTCTGCATTGTATAAAACAAACTTCTACTGGAGGGGAGAGTGAAGTTGTGGATGGATTTCATGTAGCCAATAAGTTGAAGGAGCAAAATCCTTGTGCCTTCAAAATCTTGACCTCTACATTTGTAGATTTCACAGACACTGGAGTTGATTACTGTGATTTTGCCATGCAAGCCAAACAAAGAATTATAGAGTAGGTAACATTGAATTATACGGTATATTTTTATCTGATGCTGCCTTATTCCTGAACTGTAAGCCAAAGTATCTTTTTGCTTTATTTATTTAGCACATTTATATGGCCATCTATCTCTCTGGTTTTATTGAACAAAATAAAAAGTGTTAAGGCTATGCCTGCCATCTTGTGGACAGGAATATATATCAGCTTTTTAAAAATGTGTGTACTGTTCTTATTATCATATTGAGAGAGAGACAGAGGGATAGAGAGAGAGAGAGAGAGAGATATAGCCACATCCATACTTGTACATGTACTTATGTAAGTATGTATATGTATATATTATATATAATTATATGATACAATAATACATTACAATACATTGTTATATTATCAGGGGTATGAAACCCGTTAGCACTGGCCACGCTCACCCCGGTTTTAGCGAAGGGGAAAAGTTGTGATACGTCACGTGACGACAACGTGATGCCATGAGTTTGACACCCCTGTATTATATTATTGCATTTTTGAAATTTATCTGCATGTAATTTTGGTTTTTTGTTAATACAGCCCTCAGCAAAGCATTAAGTACTACTGGGTGGAGGAAGCTTTATAATGGGCAAATGGTTGGTTTAATTTCTCCTACATTCATTTTATAGGATCTTTTTTTTTTACAGTTAAGACACTCTTCTTATTAAAAGAGGTGATAGAAATCCAATGCTACACTAAGCAGATAGTTGAATAAACTATGATGAAGCCTCAAAATTTAAAAACAAAAGACTTGTCTCTGACAGTTTTGCTTTCGTATTTAACTTTTCCCTAATCTCAAATTCATAAGGAAATTTGGGGAAATTTATTTGTTTCAATAAAACAAACCAGTCAGATTCTCAGTTATTTGCCATTTAGCAGTTAATTTATTGTAAGTTTCATAGTTTATTCATTATAAGATTTATAACCCTAACCCATTTAAAATACCAGTGAATGAAGTATCACTGGTATTGATTCTTATACCAGTGATTTTTCTGGTATACGTAAAACTGTTTAAAAAATTTGAGGATAACCTGAATTGTTCTCTCATTTCTCCACAGTGTAGATGAAAAGGGCCAAGTGATTCGTATCAATTTTAACAATGCAACCAGAGATACAATATTTGACATACCTGCTGAAAAAGTAAAGCCATTTTATGCTGCTCTCAAGGACTATGTTGTTCTCCTAAATAGCACGGATTATAAATATTCATACAAAATGAAGCCAGGTAGGCCTGGATGAAATGGTAATCAGGTTTTTTTTCCCCAGCTGATTTAAAAGTCTCTTTCAGTAGAAATAGGAAGAAATATACAAAAACTTCTTTAGTTTTTGAGAGTACTTAAATGCTGTAGGCCAGTGGCCCCCAATCTTTTGGGCACCAAGGACTGGTCCTGTGGAGAGAGATTTTTCCACAGAGCAGAGGGGGTGCTTTTTCATATGCTGGCTATATCCCATATATGTGTGGCCCGGTTTTGATCCAAGGACTGGGGTGGCAGTGCACAGACCGGGGTTTGAGGACGCCCGCTAACTATAGTATAAAAGTTAGAAAAAAAATCTTAGAAAAAAAACAGCAACAAACTCCTTTTGAAAAAAATTGCCAAGAAAACTGCATACCAGTGCAATCATCATTTAAGATGTGTTTAGAGCAGTGGTAGTTAACCTGGTCCCTACCGCCCACTAGTGAGCGTTCCAGCTTTCATGGTGGGCGGTAGGGGGTTGCTGTAACTCTGCTTTATAAATTTTATAAAGTAAAGTTACTTCCCTACTTTATAAATCACCATTACTGTGGAACNATGATAGCAGTGTTCCAATATCTCAGGGGTTGTCACAAAGAAGAAGGAGTCAAACTATTCTCCAAGGCACCTGAGGGTAGAACAAGAAGCAATGCGTGGAAACTAATCAAGGAGAGAAGCAACTTAGAACTGAGGAGAAATTTCCTGGCAGTTAGAACAATTAATCAGTGGAACAGCTTGCCTCCAGAAGTTATGAATGTCCCAACACTCAAAGTCTTTAAGAAGATGTTGAATAGCCATTTGTCTGGAACGGTATAGGGTTTCCTGCCAAGGCAGGGGGTTGGACTAGAAGACTTTCAAGGTCCCTTCCAATTCTGCTATTTTATTGTATTTACATTCCTTTCAGATTAGAACACAAGAGCAACAATCATTCACACACACCCAGCCATGTTTTTTATGCAAGGTGATATGGAAGCTCCATTTGTGTATGCAGCATTGACTTAACCAGTCTTACCCAAATTCGCACTCTGCATAGATGATACAGAGATCGATAATCCATGGTTGGAAATGGCTAGTACAGACAGTCCCCTACTCATGAACTTTTGAGTTACAAACTTTTGTAACTCCAACCTAGAAGGTCCTGGAAGATAGAAGAAGGCAGCAAAGGCTTCATTTATGGCGCACTGTGAGTCTATTGTCAAGAAGACTGCCTGTGGCCCATTCCCTTGGCAGAATGCCTCAGCCGAACAGAGTCTGAAAGAGGTCCAACCACCGTCCCTCCGGATGGGAAAAACTCACCAGGTTGGGGAAGTGCTTGCTCTGCTGACCCAGGAAGAGGCATGCATACATACATACATGCATGCATGCATACATACATACATACACACATACACATGTACCCACATATATTATATGACATGGAAAAACAACACAGTCTAGTTCAGGTATATGTACATGGCGAGAAACAAATCTTGCAAGTTTACCAGATGGATGCCATAGGGAACAAAGCTATTACAGAATCTGAAAGTCCTGCTAGAAATACTTCAAAACCTCCCCCCAGAGGAGAGCAACAGAAACAGACTGTTAAGTGGGTGTATGGGATCTCTAACAATGCTTTGAACTCTAAGCGCATAGCACTTGTAAGCAATGTCCTGAATAATGGGAAGCGAGCTTCCTATAATCTTCTCTGCTGTCCTTACCACTCTCTGAATGGGCTTTCTATCTGAGGCACTGCTATCACCAAACCAAATAGTGATGCAATTTGTTAAAACACTCTCAATTGTGCCTCTGTAAAAGCGGCCAAGACTGAAGCAGAAAGATGTGCTCTCCTCATCTGATACAGGAAATGAAGACACTGGTTTGCATGTTTCACTAAGGATGAGTCTGGAGAGACCAATTCAGATTGTTAATTATCTGCAGCCCCAGATACTTAATACTGTTAAGGTACCTGGGGCCAGATTTTCCCACCACTAGAAATCCCCACCAAATGCACCTCCTTATTCTTGTGGAGAATGGCAAAGCAAAGGATGGCCCACTGCTGTTCATGGGGTCAAGACCAACCAGTGTGTACCTTAGTCCTCTTCCTATGGGTCACATGGATGGCAGCATCTGGTTGTCTTGCCAAAGGCCTTTCCCCAATGACAGTTTCCATGCAACAACTCTAGGCCACCCCTTAATGCTGGTGGCCAAAGCTGCAATGGATGCAGAAAAACACTCTCAAAAGTAGAGAATAAGTCAGTATGTTCCAGCAGAAAATCATTGGCACTGGATGTGCCATGTCATGTTGAATTTCCTCCATGAAATTACAGACCATTTTGAAATAGTCTCTTTTTTCTGATAATTTCTGAATAATCCCGTCTACTATCTTTAAAAAGAACATATTAAGCTAGACAAATAAACCTAGCTCAGGGAGGGAGAAAAAGGAAGAAGGGTCATTTTTATTGTATCATTCCTTGCATTTAGAGAAAAATATACTATTTATTTTATAATTCTATCCAATCTGTCTATCTGTCTCATTCATACAACCCCTCCCCCCCAACACACACACAGATACACAGATAGAGGGAGAGAGAAAAACAATTACAACAATTACAAACTACTTGGGTTTGAATTAATTGACTATAACCAACCAAGTTAAGCTATATTGAAATTCCCAGAGCAAGTTAATATTTGTTAAATAGAAAAGTTTGTTACGAGTTAAAAATAGCAAAGCAGCGGTTTGGAAAAATCATCTCTGCCAGTTGACTGTAATGGATAGTGAATATGTGATGAATTAAGCAGGCAATGTTTGACAGAGGTTTAGCCAAGAGGGTGGGGAAGACAAGAGGAGCAAAATGCACTGAATGAAGTCTGTGTACAACAACATAAAATAGAACTATGTTAAAAGGGCTAAAATGTAAAGTTTCAGGAAAGGGGATGAAGTTTTTTTAAACATTCCAGAAAACTATATCACGCTGCACATCTCATCCTTAGTTAGAATTGAAATTTCAGTTGTATAGTAATTACACAAGTTCATTTCCTTTAGGAAGAAGAAGTTGCTGAGAACTTTTTAATATTTGTGTACCATGGCAATGTCGTAAGCCTCTAAAGATTGCATATAAACACCGTGCTGTAATTTAGTGTCTCTCATACCATCTTCAGTATGATGAGGTTCGATATTTGGACCATGGACGACTTCCCCTACTAAATCCTAGTTGAAGATTGCGTGCTTGTATAGTTTTTAATTGTGGCATATTGACTGAAACCTTTTTAGATCTAAAAGATGTCTCTCTGGTTTTAGTTATGCTACAATACATGATTACCTGCGTAAGGTACATTAGGTGTTTGATCTATCTGATGCCCAGTCTAAAAAGTTTGTATTTGTTCAGTTTGAAAATCAAGGCCAATTGCTTCACAGATTTCATATTTTAATTTGCATATGGCTCAGAGTTTTTCAGCCCACTCTGAGATATGAGTGATAATAAAGAACAAGCTGTTTCAAGCTTGTTCATTTCTATGTTGGATCAAAGCAAAGCATTCAGGTGAAAATGGAGTAGAAAATGGAATACGGTATGTGGTTAATATTAAAACATGATACGGCTTTCTGAAACTTTTCTGACTTTATTACAGTTTTTTTGCAGTCTGGGAGAAGTGGGTAAAAGAAGCAAAAGAAGCTCCTCTCAAATTCTTTCCCTTCTCTCCTCTTACTTACTTACTGAAAAAATTAACAGAGTTGAAAGGGACCTTGTAGGTCATCTAGCCAACACCCGATCTCCCTACCCAAGCAGGAGACACTACACCATTTCTGACAGATGGCAGTTCAGTCTCTTCTTGAAAGCTTCCAGTGATGAAGCTCCCACAACTTCTGAAGGCAAACTGTTCCATTGGTTGATTGTTCTAGCTGTCAGAAAGTTCCTCCTTATTTCTAGGTTGAATCTCTCCCTTGTTCAATTTCTATCCATTATTTCTTGTCTGGCCTTTGGGTGCTTTGGAAAATAAGTTAATCACTGCCGTGTTTATACAGTGGCTTTATTATGTTGTTTTTCCTCCAGGGTCCTTNTTCCCTACTTTATAAATCACCATTACTGTGGAACTGGTGGGCGGTTAGAAAATTTTACTACTAACAGAGTTACAAAAGTAGGTATAAAAAGGTTGACTACCCCTGGTTTAAAGAATTACTGGATTCAGTAGTTCCAATTGTTGCATCAGTAAGCCTTTCTGCTCCATCATATCCTTAATTAGTATAGACGTATTTACCACAGATTTTATTTTAAAATAATTATTTGTCTTCTTTCTAGGTGACATAGTGGTATTTGATAATTGGCGTTTACTTCATGGTCGGCAGAGTTATCAGGCAGGAGCAGAAATATCCCGTCATCTTGAAGGAGCCTACGCAGACTGGGATGTAGTAATGTCAAGACTCCGAAACTTACAAAAGAATGTTCTGGGGAGACAATACCTTTGAAGCTTGCCCTAAGGAGAACTCTTGGGGTTGGATTTTTTTCCATAACGGAAAGTGAACCTGATATATTCCCAGTTTATTCAGGGCATTCCTGAATAAGCTAGGTGTTGTCTATCGTGTTGAATATGTAGATGATCTCTTAAACAAAGAATAACATGGGTTCTTACAGGTAGTCCTCAATGTATGTCTGATTGGTTAGTAACCGTTCAGAGTTATGACACGAAAAAAAGGACTGTTAACCTGGCTCCCCCCCCCCCATTGTGAATATATTTTGGGTGCTCAGCAACCTGCCTACATTTGCAGCCATTTAACACATTCTGCAGTCATTTGATCACAATTTACAATATTTTTTTGCCAGGAAGTGATGCTTATCTCCAATTTGCAGCAAAAATCATTCTTTGCAGACAATTGGTTCACTTAACGACCTTGGCATTTGCTTAACAACTGTGGTGGATCCACTTAACAATCATGGTGATATGCTTAATGACCATTGTATAAAATGTAAAAATGAATTGGTGATGTGATGACCTGCGTAACAACTGGTATGACTTTTGACCATAATTCTGTTCTTAATTGCAATCATAAATTGAGGACTATTTGTATTGTGAGAAAACATAGTTTGCCCTTTCTTGCTAATTAGAGTCTGAGCAACTTCCAAGTTTTCCAAAGAATATTGAAGAATAGACTATCAAAAACCAAGAATAGCATGTAATGTTGAAAACCTTTAACAAAGTCTTGTCCATTTTGGAGGCAGATGCATTGAGGACAGGAAAGAAATCAGAGGTGGAATGGGAAGTTCTCTTTATGAAATGAGAAGTTCATTGCTATTAATCCTCTGAAATCAGGTTATTTTCTTTTCACAGCCTTAAAAGTTAATAGTCTGTCTCCCGGACATTTTTGTGGAGTATAAACTGACTCATAGGCACAAACCAAAACAATAATTAACAAAAACAAGAATTTTTGTTTCAGTTTTCAAAGTTACAGTATGTTGTTCTTATATTTGTAATGTCTTATGAACACCAACATGGGATGCAGTGGCTCAGTAGTTAGGATCGTTAAAGATCAGCAGTTCGAGCCCCGAGTGCTGTGAGACAGAGTGAGCTCCCATCACTAGTCTCAGCTCCTCCCAACCCAGCAGGTTGAAAGCATGCATATGCAAGTAGATGAATAAGTGCATATAAGCATGCAGGAAAGTAGCAGTGTTCCATGTTTCACTGAACACTCTGTGCTGAGGCGTGATGTCATGCTAGCCACATGATCAATTGTCTCTGAACAATGCTGACTCTTTGGCTTAAGAAAGGGAGATGAGTACTGCCCCCTTAAAATTGGTCACAACTACAGAGTAATATGTAGACCCTTGGGGACACCTTACCTCTTTTTTTTTCTTATGTAGACCAACACATTTTATTTTGCAAATGTAAAGTTAAAACTCATGTGAAAAAGCTAGGAAAATTTTAAGCATCATGAAATTTTACTAAATTAATACATTCATACAAAAATATGTGTCATGAAAATTATAATGAAATCAAGTGTATGCTTTTTACAGCTCCTAAAATTTTATATCATAGAATGGCAACAAATTCTTGGAAGAATCAAACCACTTTGCACAACATACTGAGCTTAGCACAATGTATGAATTATTTTAATTCTGGTTCTTTCTAATGATATCATGTGAAATGAAATAATGTCCTGACTATTTTTCAAAAGTGACTTAAAAGAACTAAGATGAATTTCTTTTGCACAAGAGTAGATCTTACATAATAGTAAAGAATCTCCCGTGCATACTGTTGCTGTGATTAATTTTTATGGTGCTTTTTTTTCCCTCTTGACTTGCAGCAAAGAAGTTGCAAGTTGGAGTGTCTTAACTTTTTATTGAACTGTCATTTATTCCCCCAAATTCAGTTACATTTATTGTTTTGACCATTGGTTGTAACAAATAAGATGAAACCTGCACAAAATATTAATAAAAAGATTAAAATGTGCAAAAATCAGTAAAAAAAAAACCATTAAAGCAAATATAATATTAGCCTTAGGAATTTTTGATAAAATATCATCTCTGTTTAGCAACAGCTCATGCAAAGTTTACTAATTTCTGTAGCACACTCTTCTCATCTAAATTCATTAGGTATTCAATTTTATATGTATCAGGCCCAAATTATTTTCTTACCAAGAAGGGATCCTGATGTTTTCCCGGTGCTGAAGGAGAAATAAAGCAATACAATAAATAATGGATAAAATCTTTTGTAATCTCTTTGGAGCAAGGGCAGAAGCACATATTATATGGGATGTTGAGAAATCAGCCCTCTATAACTGCGTCTACTTCCAAATAATGTTAACATTA